TCAATATTTTAGAGACCCCCCAAAGTTTCACGAACCATGTTTTCAGGGAAGCTCATAAGTTCCACCTGGCTCACCTGTTGTTCGCACCCTGCTTTTACATTTATTACTTAACGCCAAAGACTACACTGAAACCCCAAATGGGAAGTGTGGTATTTTCCTTTGGCTTACGTACCATAACTAATCTTGACATGATTTTACGTTTCTGACCTTTTTTGTCCAGGCTACCTCACATAATGAGGGTAGCAAATTCAGTCCTTTGGTCTTTATGATATGCAGTTTGGTCAAAAGTAGCATGAGCGCACTTGTTCACTTCCTCTTTCAGTCAGCATTTAGCATCATAATTATTCATTTACATGGAGTCTATAAAATAAAATGAAAAAGAGTTTGTAATCCATTTAAACAATAATTTAATCTGTTGATTTCACAGTAAAAAAAGATGAGCACATTACAAAAGATTGACAATCACAATAGTGATGAAACTAGTAGTATTTATTAGATAAATTATTAACTGTAATGGTCTTTATTTGATAAATTAGGCTAGCCAGCTTGCCAGTGGTAATAAAGAAGTATTTTACAGTTCATGTTGTGCTAAGCAAAAGTAAGTGTTAATGTTTCTTCAGTGTTGAGCTAAGAATTGAAGGCTGGTAACACACACCAAACACAAATTCATTCCCTTAGTTATTATTAGTTATTGGAATACGTATTTACAATAACAGGATCACAAAGAGCTACTGTCGAAGAATAAAGTCCTGCAGTTCAGTCTCATCGTTCTCTTCGGGTTCGTTGCTTCTTGTGACAGCAACTTTAGCAGCACACTCTGCCTTTCTGGTGAAAGGACGACAAGGACCAGCCGGAGTCTGATGCAGTAGTGGTTTGCTGCTTGAAATGTTGCCCATACTTTGAGCAGAAGCACCTTCTTGTCTCTTGGCCGATGTTGCCTGATTCCTCTTGTACAGTTTACAGGATGCCACCAGAGGCTTTCCTATGTTCACCTGTTGGCTTTCTGTCTGGCGCAACTTACTGTCCGTGTTAGTATAGTGTAGATCCACCCTGATGACCAGAGATTCCTAAGAGAGGCAAATGATACAATTATTTTACATTTATTATACGGACTTTCTTGTAAGGATTTGTTAAAATCTTATAATATCACTTCATGTGAACAGAATCGGGAGACATGTCACTGACTGCATACCTTAAGTTTTTGAAGAGCACATAGTCGCAGAGTATAGTCTGGGTTATCAGACTTCTTGAACAGTAGAGAGTCCATTTCCTCTGATCTGCCAGGACGGGAAAATATGTCTTCCATTGGCTAAGAATTCCAAACATAAAAGATTTTATTAGCATCATCTCAGTTCACTCTCAATAAATAATGTCCTGCATTTAAACCAGCCCTAGCATTGAGTCACTACTAGATGCAATCATAATCAGCCACTAGATGTCAGTATGATCCAAGATTCTGTAGTTCAAAAACGGGTGTGTGTGTATCACACTAAGAGAAGTACAGCACATAAGTCTTGTTACTTCCTGCTTTATCTGTGGTTGCAGCAGGCTGGAAGTCCATATATGGGCAAAACTTCCTCAGACATGTGAAACGTGGGAGTGAATGGTCATCATTGAGAAACCTCCACTGGCTAATGGAAACTGACAGCGTCCTGTGAGCTAAGTGGAATTTATGATGTAGATACAACTAGCAGTGCTGAGTTTAGTAACTGTTACAAAAGAAAGTTCATTAACGTGCCAGAAAAACTGTTATGTACTAGTTGGAAGGAGACATTTGTGTATACTGTACATTAATATTTTAACTATAGTGTGCATCTTCATCAATACTGAAAGGGCCTTGCTACAATAATGTCTTGACAGGGTGATTGTTTTTTAGTAAAAAAAAAACACTTACAGGTATACTACTTAGGGTGACGGTGCAGTCCTGGGTTCGGGGGCCGGTAGTCTTTACAGTGGCAAAAGCCACCAGGACATTAGAGAACAGAGCTGAGAAGCTGACTTCCACTTCGACTCTGCAAAGAAACACCAGGCGCTTCTTCCGTGGTAGCTCTGAAAGGAAGTGTGAAAAAGGGTTGTTTTTTTT